GCCTAATTGTATTAGTGTTGCTCATGGCCCGACCCGAACGTTTTGGATGGCTTTCAGGGTTAGCCCACTTACCCTATCTGTTATTTGTCCCTGTTTGTTTGACCTAAAAAGCCTAAACCCTAAACCTACTCTTAAACCTATTTAAGTGAGTTCTTAATTACAATTATGGTGTGGGAAATTATTTTGAGCAGCCGTGTATATTGTGAAGAAGAGAAAAACCGGTTCTTGCCTCTTGCCTTCTCCAATTTGAGCTTTGTGCTTGGTTCTTCTTCTCTACCTAGCCTTTGTGGCTCTTCTTGGCTGTAATCTTCTCACCTTAGTCCTTAGTGGGCTGTAGAAATCCTTGAGCAACCGGGTTTGGGAAGGTGGTGCCGGTTTGGGATCGATTGGTTTGTATTGTGGTGTTGATTGGTGGTTTAATCTGAGCCTGGTTTGTTGTTGATTGAAGCCTCAAATCTCCACATATTGTTAGGGCAAACAAGTCCCACATCGGTTGTGGGAAGAAAATAACTCCACCATATAACCTAAGTGGGCTACATGATTGAAGCCTCAAATCTCCACAGGGCTAAATAGGACATGCTTTCCAGAATTAGTAATTTGAGAAACTGAAAAATAATTTTCTCTTCAAATCTGGAACATGGAAGACATTATTCAGCTTGATAGTCCTTGTATCACCAGCGTCCATCATCACAATTCTTTCTTTTGCTACTGGATATCTTGAGCTATCAAATGTGACAATAATTTCCTCTCCATTATGTTGACAGTTTTGAAAGTAGCGAATCATTTCCTATTACATGTTGAGAGCAACCTGAATCAATGATCCACTCTTCTTTTCAGTCTTCATGGTTCTAAAGAGCTTGAGCCGGTATTAATTCAATAGCAACATCATTCCTTCCTTTAACTACTTTTGTAGGGAAACATATGAGAAATACTGATAAGAACAATGTAAAGCACCAAGTGCAGAATTCAACACAGCAAATGAAAGAGGATGCATATAGATTTATTTCTGAATGAAGAATGTAAAAATTTGTACAATGCAAATGGTGCTAAACAAATGCATATATATACAAGTGAAAAGAATCTTGCAACAAATTTGTAAAAGAAAAATTCCCTAATAGAATTCAGGTGTGATCTCTAGAGAATTCTTCCAACTCATCTTCTTCAGGAAGCTTCCGTTCTTCCAGCTTTCTGAGGTGTTCGGGTCTTGTTTTTTTTCCTAGTTATATCGGTTGCATCCCACATTTTGACAGCACCCACAAGATGGAGAGTAGATGTTTTCTACTCCCATCTTGGATAAGTGGGAATAAAAATTAGTTGAACACAGTGGTTTAGTCATTATGTCTACAACTTGTGAATCACTTCTCACATAATCTGTCACTACATTGTCTTCTTAAATTTTATCACGAACTAGGTAACAGTCAGTTCTATATGATTGGTTCTTTCATGGAAAATAGGGTTGGTTGCTATGTGTATGGTTGCCTGGTTGTCGCAAGATAACAGAGCTGCTTGAGGGTGAGGTACTTGCAAATCGTGTAGCAAGTATCTAAGCTATGATAATTCATAATAGACACTGGACATAGCTCTATGTTCTGCTTCTGCTGATGATCTAGAGATGGTACTTTTTTTCTTTGATTTTCATGACATCAAGGATGTACCAATGAAAACACAATATCCTGTCTGATCTCCGTGTATCCAGACATGCCCCCCAATTTGAGTCACTATAAGCTGCAGGTCTGATGTTGAAGTGAATAGCAACCCTTGACCTGGCTCCCTATTTATATATCTGAGTACCTTATGAACAACATTTGAATGGGATATTCTAGGATTTTGCATGTATTGACTAAGTAATTGAACCGAGTAAGCCAAATCTCGTCTTGTGGCAGTCAAATAGAGTAATTTCCCAATAAGTTTTCTACAGATAGAAGGATTTGGTAAGGATTCTCCTTGATCCTTAGAGATTTTGACATTTTGATCTAATGATACCTTACTTAGTACTGCCCTAATTGTCCCCGAATCAGCTAAGACATCCAATGTATATTTTCTTTGGCAAAGGTGAATTCCTTTATCAGATCTTGCTACCTCTATGCCAAGAAAGTATTTTAGAATGCCCAAGTCTTTGATTTTGAACTTGTCATCAAGTGAGGTTTTGAGAAATTTGATAATGTCCATGTTACTACTAGCTACTATAATATCATCGACATATACAAGTATGGCTTTAAAGGAATCTTTTTTACTTCTTGTGAACAGACTATAGTCTGATTTGGATTGATGAAAACCTTGCTGAACAATGAAGGAAGACAACTTTGAGTATCATTGTCGAGAGGCTTGCTTTAGTTCATACAAGCTTTTGTTAAGTTTGCAAACTTTTGGGTGATGATTTGTAGAATAGCTTGATGGCAATTCCATATAAATTTCTTCATCCCAATCTCCATGCAAAAAGGTATTGTTCACATCAAGTTGATGCAAGAACCATCCTTTTATTACTGCCACAACAAGTAAAGTTCTCAGAGTCACCATTTTTTCCACCGGTGAGAAAGTTTCATGGTAGTCTAGACCCTCCAGTTGCGTGTATCCTTTCACCACTAGTCTAGCTTTGTACCTCTCAGTTGTTCCATCTGCGTTGCAATTAATTTTGTAAATCCATTTACAACCTATAGCTACTTTTCCAGGAGGCAAGTCTGTCACAACCTAAGTATTATTTAATTCCAGAGCATTTACCTCAGCATCCATGGCATCTTTCTATTCACGGTATTTGACAGTCTCTTGGTATGAGTTAGTTTCAGCGTGTGTGGAGATAGATGTAATAAAAGCTTTATGTGAGTTAGACAATCTATGATATAATAAGGTAACACGTAAAGGAAAGGGAGCACCTAGTGTGACATTTTGTGAATGGAATAGTGAGGAAGCTTGCTGACATACGAAGTCCTGCAAGTATGAAGGAACTCTCCTGGTTCTGGTGGATGTGCGAGGTAGATGAAGAGTTGTGGAGGTGTTTTGGGTGGAATCAAGTGATTCGGTTGGGAAATTTGGATTTGAAGTCTCAGTATTCTGGTCCATATTTTCAGCCAATTCTGTTGAAGAATTAGTGGTTTGTCTACGATAGTTTAAGTCAGTATTAGCAGGATGAGAAAGCTAAACCACCGGGACTTGGAAGGGTGTGTTCATGTATTGTGTTATGAGTTTTGTATGGAAAAACGTTCATAGAAAACAACATTTCTAGAAATAAAAAATTCTGTTTGATTCAAGATCTAGGAGCTTATATCCTTTGATTCCAAAAGGTTATACCTAGGAAGACACATCTCTTTGCCCTTGGATCAAACTTGTGTTTTGCAAATGCAAGACATCCAAAAACTCTAAGATGAGAGTAGGAAGGTTTATCTTTAAACAAAAGTTCAAAAGGTGTTTTGTTATTGAGAAGTGGAGTGGATGTTCTGTTTATGAGAAACGACGCAGTTAAAACACAATCATTCCAATGTTTCATAGGGATTCCACTCTGAAACTTTAGAGCTCTAGCCACATTTAGGATATGTTGGTACTTTCTTTCAACTATAGCATTTTGTTGGGGTGTCTCAACTATCTTTTGGTATATGATACCTTTCTTTGAGTAAAACTCTTTCATATCAAACTCCCCACCATTATCACTTCTAATTATTTTGATTTGTACTTCATATTGGGTTTGTATCATGTTATAAAAGGTTTGTAGAGCACCAAACACTTCAGATTTGAGGTTGAGTAAATAAATCTAAGTACAAATGCTAAAGTCGTCTACAATGGTGAGGAAGTTTTTTGAGAAGGGCCCCATAAGTCACAATGAACAAGTTTAAAACAATTTTATGATTTGTGTTAACTAGCAGCAGACCTATCCTAGGATCTGAGGGGTGTCCTAATCTATAGTGCCATAGATCAAAATCTTCAGGAATAGTGGTGACAGAGGCTGACATAGTAGTTTTGTTAGCAAAAATAGGTAAGGATTCAATCAAAGATGTGGGAGAGACTTCTTCTTCTTCTTCTAGTAAGTGGTATAGGCCTTGCCTCACTTTAGCCATTCCAATCATTTTTCAAGTTAAAAGGTCTTGCACAAAACAAGATTCAGGGAGAAAAATGAGACAACATCTTGATGATTGGGCTAACTTTCTAGCAGAAATAAGATTAAACGAGAAAGATGGAACGCATAAGACTTCATCTAGAAATAATGTCTCTATTATTTTGATTGTTCCTATATGGGTGACATGAACGGTATTTCCATTAGGAAGAGCAACTTAATGTGAAATTTGTGCCTTAATGGCTGTGAAGTATGAGGGAGTACAGATCATGTGATCTGTTACTCTAGTATCCGTGATCCTAAATTTGTGCCTTAATGACTTTGTGCTAGAGGTAGATAAACAGAAAGTAATACCAGAAATCTTTGACATAACTGCCTCATCTGAGGGGGATGATATGAGAGTTTGCACTTGATTGACAGAAGGAGTATAAGGCTGAGAGTTATGTGACTTGAGCAATGCCATGAGCTAATTATATTGCTCCTGAGTTAAAGAGATTTGGCTGTTACTACTTCCTTGCTCCTATCTAGTAGTTATGAGAGTTGTAACTTGATTTGAAGAGGTTCCATAATTCGTTACCTTCTATACAATTTATGACCCATTGGATATCCATAGATTTTGAAACATTTGTCTGCTGAGTGACCAGGAATTTGATAGTGTAAGCACACTAGTTTCTCAGGGTTAGCC